ATAAATAAATAAATTGTATTTATGAAAATTTGAACCTGATATTAAACTAAAGTCATCATAGATAATATTCCTATTGCCAAAATTTCACTTTTGCAACAATTTATTTTTGGGGAAATTCTAAATCAAGGTTTTACTTCTTAGGACAGTTTTAAAATAGTAAGAAGTTTGGAGAGGGAGAAGCAAATGTTTTTCTCTTTTCAGACAACATTGGGCACGTTCAGGGTGGTATGGCCATAGACTGTTTTTCTCTTTTCAGAGAAAAAAAGATGGAGGTTATCAGGCTGGAGAGATAGTTAAGTGATCTATGCACCTTCCCAACAAGCATAAGGACATGAGTTCAATCCCCTGTACTGCATGCCACACTGGCTCTGAAACTGGGCATGGTGGCCCAGGCCTGAAATCCCAGTCATGGGAGGCTGAGACAGGAGGATCACTACAACTCTGATCTCTGTAACGAGACCCTATATCAAATAAATTAATTAATAAAAACATTTTTTAAAAGAGTGAGGTTATGAGCAGAATGTCACACTACTAAGCTTTGTGATAAGGGCAAGTTGAACACAGGGGCCACAAAGCAAAAAGATGGGTATTTGACCAATCACTATAGCTCAGGTAAGGGCAGAAGGAAGATGGGGCAAAAGTGGATAGTATCTACCACAGTACTTGAGCTAAGCATACATCTAGGACAAAGTATAAAGCAACACACATCATGGCAGAGTATGCTTTCTTTCACCTATCAAAGTTGCCATCACTTAAAGTAAGATTAGAAAAAATGATGTGGCCTAAAAATTGCTTTCATTAAGCAAATAGCTTTTCAGTAGGATCAGTGTTCTGTACATGGGACCGGGATGACGTGGCAACTTTGCTTTTCTTGTTGTTGTTACAGGGGAGCGGTGAACAATACAATGATGATGGAGAGACGAAAAGCAAAGAAAGAGGTAGGCAAGGGTAGAGAGGGAAGATTGTTAAGAAAGAAGAAGTGATGAGATGCAAAAGAAAGGAGGGAGGAAAGAAAGGGCTGGTGTCACATCTTTGGGTATTATAGAAGGAAGAAAAGAAAACCTGAGATTATCTGAGACTGTGCACTGTCTGCCTAACCACAAGTGTACTTGTGACACATGAGACTGATTTTTCATTCATTAATGAAGAAATAATTATTGTTGCCCTGGTTTGAATATGATCTGCCTTCTAAGAGTTTATGCATTAAAAGCTTTGTCTTCAAGGTGACAAGATTGGGACATGGTAGCAATCTTTGAGTGGAAAGTAGTAGGAAACTTTCAGAGGTCACTGAGAGTCTTGCCTTTGAAGGAGGTTAAGGCAGTTCTCCTAAGACCCCTCAGTAGTTCTCTTGAAAGTGTGGTTAAAAAAGCCCACTTAGCTTCCAAAACTTTTGCTTCCAAACTTGTGAGCTAATTAAAGCTGTTTCTTTGTAACTATCCTACTCCAGGTTTTTTTTATAGCAACAAAAAGCTGAGTAATACAGCCACATTATTGGAACTCCCTTTAATGATATTGTGGTTATTCAGCCTGGAGAAGATGGAAAATGAGATTTAACAGGATATCACTGAGAATAAATTGCTATGTAAGTGAGAAAAAGATGACATTATTCTAGTTAGCAAACTTGCTTATTTGGGTTCAGGATCTGCATGGTCAAATAATGGCTACTGCTCCCAGGAATTCAGCTACTGGTCCCTTGCATAAAAATGCAGAGGTACAAATCATAGTATGTACTCATCTTCAATGTCTACCCAAAATGGCACCACCAATTTAGAACATAGTTTGGAGATATCTTTAAAAACTAAACATACTCCTACAATACAAGCCAGCAATTACACTCCTTAGCATTTACCAAAGATGTTGAAAAGTTAAATCCACTCACACCAAAACCTGTCCATGGATATTTATAGCTGCTTTATGTCTAAAGGCCAAAAATTCTAAGAAATCAAGATAAACTTTATTAGGTGAATGGATAACCAAACTGGTTATCCACAGAATGGAATATTACCAAAAAGAACTGAGCTACTAAGCCATGAAAAGATACAAAGGTAACTTAAATGCATATTAAGTGAAAGAAGTAATTCTGAAAGGGCCATATACTAAATGATTCCAAATATGTAACATTCTAAAAAGTCAGTGTTATGGAAACAGCAGACTCATCCGTGGTTGTCAGAAGTTTCATGTGGAGGGGCGATAAATAAGTAGAGCTCAGAGAAGTCTGAGAGAAGCCACTTTGTGTGATACTGTAATGGTGGGTGCATGCCATCCTACATTCTTCCATACCCACAAAACATAAAACACGAGTGAATATTATACAAGTTATAAACTTTCTGTAACAAGTATGACACTGTAGTCAGGGATCTTGATAAGGCCGGAGGCTATGCAGGTGTGAGGGAGGTGTTGTATGAGAAATCTTTTTAGCTTCTGCTCAATTTTGCAGTGAACCTAAAACTGCTCTAAAAATAAAGTCTATTTTTTAAGCAAACTTTCCAAGAGCCATTGCCTCTTTTTTCACCATTTAATAAAAATAATGGTAACACTGTGCTGTTAATAAATCCTAGTCAAGAGACACCATGAAGCTTGCATAGTGGCATATGACCATTATTCAAGTATTTTGAAAGACTGAGGTAGAAAGATCACAAATTCAAGCTCTTGGTTCAATTTCCTGTACAAAACAGAAAAACAAACAAGCAAATGCCATGAAGCAAAACATATATTAAGGATCAGAAGGACTGATATAATAGCAATGATATGGAATTTTGGTAGCAGCAATATAGCCAACTCCATAACTGATTAATGGAAATCTGCTCTAAAATATATAAGGGGAAAATAGCCTTGGGGAACCCTAAGTGTGCTGAAAGTTTCCCTTAGAAGGTAGCTTAGGTAGGCAGAGCGAGCTTCATGGGTGAATCAAAGTCCTCACACCCTGCATACCCAGCTGGCATCCTGAGTCACTGACCTGTGCTATGGCGTAGTCCGAGTTGTTGGTGGCCTGCATGCCCTCATTCCCACTGATTCCGACTCCAACATGGGCCCTCTGGATCATCCCAACATCATTGGCACCATCCCCAATAGCAAGCGTGATGGCCCTTACATTTTTCTTAACCATGTCCACTATTTCAGCCTTCTGGAGAGGAGACAGCCTAAAGAGGAAGACAGAAATGATCACTTTTAATATTTGGGTTCATTTTACTTCACAGTGTTCTAGGAATCTTTGCAAAGGATCAGCAATAATTTGCATAGAGCTGCAAAAGTTTGTCATTAGAACCTTTTTAATTTAATGAATACAATTTGCTGATTCTTGATATTATTTCCTGTGCTGTTGGGAGTACTACTCAGGACTTTGGGTGTGCCTGTGACTTCAAGTGTTTTCTCTATGTTATCTTTTTTTTTTTTTTTTTGTGGAACCGGGGATTGAACTCAGGTCCTTGCACTTGCCAGGGAAGCCCTTATTCCACTGAGCCATGTCCCCGGCCTCTATGTTATCTTTCAGCAGATGAAATTATTAATATTTCAAAGAAATCATAGTGGAAGATTTGCCGAATATGAGATAAGAGTTTGAAATATAATAAGGAGGGCTGACAGAGCTCCAAACAACTATGATTTAAACAAGAAGAAGCCCACTAGGTGCGTTATGGTTTGGGGCTTTTAGAAGGGGAACAATACAATACAGGACACATTTTATATTAGTTTATTAGGAAACACTCAAAAATTAATAGATTTCCTATAAACAAAAGCAAATTCACTGAGACAGAAATCAGGGAATAGCATCAAATAAATGAAATAATAAAAAAAACCTAGTAAATCAATCTAACAAAGGGTATAAAAGGTCTATATAATGAGAATAACAGAACTTTAGAAAAGGGGAGATTGGAGAGGATATTAGTAAATGAAAACATATTTCTTGCTCATGAATAGGAAGAACCAATACATTGAAAATGGCCCTAGTCTGAAAACTATCTTACATATTTAATGCAATCCAAATCAACATACCATTAGCATACCTCATAGAACTAGAGAAAAATTCCTAAAATTCATTTAGAACCAGAGGAGACCTAAAATAGCAAAAGCAACTCTGGGGAATAAAGACAAGTTAGGGGGCACCAAAATTCCTGACCAAAAATTATACTACAAAGCTGTGGTAAAATCAACATGGATTTTGGCAAAAGAACAGACCTTGTTCCACAGAGGTCAGTGGAATAGAAGTTCCAAATGCAGCTACAAACACGCTAAAACACATTTTTTTTCAACAAAGGAGCCAAATATGTTTGTTGGAAGAAAGAACATCTCTTTAACAAATGTTTCTGGAAAAACTGGCTTTCTACATTCTAAAGACTTAAAATCAGACCTATGTCTATCACTATGCACTAAAGTCAAAATGGATCAAAATCTAAACATTAAAACAGAAATACCAAATATACTGTAAGAGAAAGTACATAGAAATTTTGAAGACTTAGGTGTAGAATGATCATTCATGAATAAAACTCAGACTGAATGGGAAATACAACACAGAATCAACAAGTAGGATCTCACCTTATTAAAATACTTTTGCACAACAAAAGAAATCACCAACAAATTTAAAAGGCAACCTATAGAGTGGGGAAAATATTATATCCAGTTGTCACTTGGAAAAAGGACTTACACCTAGAATAGACAAAGAACTGAAAAAACTCAGCCCCCCCCCAATGCAAAGACTCAATCCAAAAATAGGCATCTGAGATGAATACATACTTCTGAGATGAAGAAATGTAAGTGGAAAATAAATATATGAAAAATGTTCAACATCACTAGTCACCTGAGAGACACAAATTAAAACAACACTGACATTCAATATCTCTCCAAAAATAATGACTAGTGCCAAGAAGTCAATCAATAATGAATGCTGGAGGAGCTGTGAGGAAGAGGAATCCTTCTTCACTGTTGGTGTGAGTGTAGACTGATGCACTCACTGTGGAAATCAATGAGGGGATTCCTCAGAAAACTAGCACTGGAGGTCCCATTCAACCCTCCTTCAGGATATCTTTCCTAAAGAATTAATAACATCACACCACAGCAATATATGTATACTCATGTTTATAGCAGCACAGTTTGTAATAATTAGATCTTGGAAACAACCCAAATTCCAATCAATCAAGGAACAGACAAAAAATGTGATATTTTTATATAATGGAGTACTATTCAACAATAAATCTCTTGAAAATGTAGGTGTAGGCAAGGATTTTATGAACAAAACCCTTGGCTATACAGGAAATATTACAAAGAATCAATACCTGGGATTACATCAAATTAAAGTTTGTTTGTGCTTTCATCTCTGTGCTGGTCTCTGACTGTGGCATGACCGTGTTCCTACAACTCAGTAGTCGGAATACCTTTAGTGGCAAAATTAGCTCCTGTGCTTCTCCCTGTTTCTTCATTCTTATACATCTCTTACTGCCTCCTTCACAAGCGCAAGCAAGGACGTCTTCGTCTTCTTCTTCTTCTTCTTCTTCTTCTTCTTCTTCTTCTTCTTCTTCTTCTTCTTCTTCTTCTTCTTCTTCTTCTTCTCCTCCTCCTTCTTCTTTCTTCCTTCTTCTTCTTCTTCTTCTTCTTCTTCTTCTTCTTCTTCTTCTTCTTCTTCTTCTTCTTCTTCTTCTTCTTCTTCTCCTTCTCCTCCTCCTCCTCCTCCTCCTTCTTCTTCTTTCTTCTTCCTTTTTTTTTTCTTGCAGTACCAGGGATTGAACTCAGGACCCTACACTTGCCAAGCAAGCACTTATTTTACTGAGCTGTCTCCCAGGCCTCAAGCAAGGACTTCAATGGGGAGAAAGTATACATTCCTTAAATGATTTTGTCATACAAAAAAAATCAGTTAATGAAATCTAAAGGGAAGAAACATTCAATTTCTGTGAATTGGCCATTGATTTTTTTTTCTGCTTGCAAGAAAAAGATGAGCAGGAAGGTATTTTTGCTACAGGTGAATGTGAATTTCTCATTTGAAACATGATTTGCAAAAGAAATCTAACTGATAGAAGGCTAGGTCACTACAGAGTTGGAGGATTAAACTACAAACTTGGAGATCCTAGATAAACCACAGGATCCAAGTAGAGTGAAGAGGAAATTATGGGATCTTTTTTCCTTCTTATAGCAGATGTGGAACACATGTAAACAGATAGGAACATTAAGCTAAGAATGACATTCAAAGCACACTGTGCACTGTGTGATTGAGGAATATGAGAGCATATCTATGATAATAATTTAAAAATTCAAGTCATCAATAAGTTTTAGTAATTAATTCACTTTGTCAATGAGAAGTAAGAAACAACTATCACTGTAGAGTTTCATTATTTTCTCCATTCTATCCATCTTTTCTGTACAGGCTTGGTTTTTCATAAATGAGTTTTTTGACTTGCGCTAATAGAGTAGTAGCACAGGCCAGAGCATACCTTCCTGCTCATCATAGGCTAAGCACCACCTACCTCCCATCACTCCCTGTGAATTCTGGTCCTGCTTGGGGAACTGCTTCTATAACTCTGAAGCAGTAGTTCCCAAGAAGTAACCTACAAATCAGTTTCTGGGGAAATTCTTAACTCAGGCACAGGCATAGAAACAACTCAATGAGTCTAAAAGTCACATTTGCGAATGGGAAAACACAGATTCATCCATGTGGGTTGCATCTCATGGATAAAATTATAACAAGGTGAATTCTGGGAAAAGATGTGCACAGCAGACATCGAGGATCTGAGTTAGGATAAGCTGTTGAACACATTCAGGACAGCAATCTGGGAAGAGCCTGGACTCAACCTGAAATAAAAGACCCCTTTCTCTAATATTCAGAGAATATGAGCCTTTCTACTGGCCCACTCTTTCTCTCTGCAGAGTGTGCTTCAATTCTGCCTTAATAAATGTACATTTCGCTGTCTTTTCTGTGTGTCGTATACAATTCTTTGTTGGGTGTCAGTGGAGTTTCTCAAATTCACCTTACACTGTAAAGAAACCAAGGACTTTGTTCTTACTGGCAATTCTTTTCAACTCATCATACATACAGGAATAAGCTTACCATTAAAAAAGCCTAAACCACTTTCTAGTAAATTTTAATCCTGACAACTAGAATTAAATACTAATCTTGGCATATCAATTCAAGCATAATGTTTTCCAATAATTAACTTTGCTTCTGCAAAATCTTGTATCTCATGTCCATATTTTCATCGTAAAGAGTAGTAGGCATAGCAAAGAGGAATAAAATAATAGAGAGTATATTCTTACCTACAACATAATACTGCTCTACATGACAAGGCCAAATTCAGGAAATCGGTCTTAATCCCAATACCCATGGCATATTTTAATGTTTCACCATCAATGATTAAGGCCAAGTCATTTTCTTTACCTAACATATTTCCAAGATCTTGACAGTTCTGATAGATCATATGATGTGTTGTCTAAAAAAGAGAAGAAAAAAATAACTTTATATGTCTTATTTTACATAAAAATGAAAAAGAATCAGAATCAAGATGGTAAACAGAAGCAGGGCTATGTTTACTAGTCCTTTCAAAAGCTTCATTGCTGAGAGTGTAACTCAGTGGCAGAACACATGCTTTATATATGTAAAGGCCTGGTCTCCATCCCAACATCAAAAGGAAAAAAAAATCATTCAAATGAGGTTAAGAAGTAAACAAATAATTTAAGATGATGATGATGATGATGATGATGATGATGATGATGATGATGATGATGATGATGGTGGTGGTGATGACGATGACGATGATGATGATTATGTATTTTTGAGACAGGTTCTCACCACACAGTTCAGGCTGGCCTTGAGCTCACTTTGTAGCTCAGACTGGTCTTGAATTTGCAATGATCCTCCTTCCTCAGTTTACCAAGTGCTGGGATGACAGGCATGTGCCACCACGCCCAGTGATGCATGACATTATTAGCCATTGGGAAAATGCAAGTTCAAACACACATAAAGTACCATTTCATATCCACTAACAAAACTAGAATAAAAAAGCTGAATGATAGCAAGTATCACCAGGGATGTGAAGAAATCAGAACACTTGTACACCATTGCTGGAAATGTAAAATAGGGCAGACAATGTGGGAAACAGTCCAGCAGCTCCTCAGATGACAAAACACGTAACACCTGACTAGGCAACAGCACTCTAGTTATTTGACCAGAGAAGTGAAAACATGCCCACAAAGAAATAACTACCTGAATGTATACAGCAGCACCATTCACACTTGCCAAAACATGCAGTAGCTATATAACAGAATATTATTTAGGCAAAAAAAGAAATGAAGTACTAGTGCACGTGAGAATATGGATGAACCTTGAAAACATTATGTTAACTAGAGAAGTCAGTTACAAAAGGCCACATATTTGACTCCTACAAAAGTCCCAAATAGGAAAATCTTGTTTTTGTTAGTGGCTATTTAAAAGTGGTAGCTATTGTGAGAGCTGTTGCTTCCTTAAGTTCTTTCTTAATGAGTTTGCTATTAGAGTAGAGGAATGTTACTGGTTTTTGAGCACTGACTCTATATTCTTCTATGCTGTTGAGTGTGGTCATTAATTAGCAGTCTTTTGCTAGAGATTTTGAAGTCTTCTATGCAGAGTATCATGCCATCAGCAAAGAGTCGTAATTTTGCTTTTTCGTTTTCTAACTATATTCTGTTTATTTCTTTCAGTTGCCTAAATTTCTTCTGCTAATATTTTGAGGACTACAATGAACAGGAGTGATAATAATAGGGATCTCTGTCTTGTTCCTGATTTTAGAGGGAAAGTTTTCAGCTTTTGACCATGTAGTATAATGTTGAATGTTGGTCTGTCATAAATAGGACTTTTCAGATTCAGATAAGTATCTTCTATTCCAATTTTCTTTAGGGTTTTTATTGTGAGTGGAAATTAGATTTTGTCAAATTTTTTTCTGTGTCTATTGAGATGACCATATCATGATTCTGTTGATATAATGTATTATATTCATGAATTTGTGTACATTGAACCATTTCTGCATCTATGGAATAAATCCTAATTAGTTATGCTGTATAATGTTTTGGTGATTTTCTGTATTCTATTTGCCAGTATCCTACTAAGGATTTTTGCATCTGTGATATTAAAGAGAAGGACTTATATTCTCTTTTTAGTCTTGGTCCCTTTTTGACTTTGGTATCAGGGTAATGGTTATTTTCAGGAATGACTTTGGGAATTCTCCTTTCATTTTAATTTTGTTAAAGAAATTAAGGAGTACTGATTAACATTAGATCTTCTGTAAACTTCTTGTAGAATTTGTCAGTGAATCCATCAGGATATGGGCTTTCCTTAGTTTGTATTTTTCAAACTATTTCTTCAATTTCATTGACTTTGTATTCAGGATTTTTTTTAATAAACTACAATTTGCCAGGTTTTAAAAACAATTTATATTTTGTGTGAATTTAAGAAATCTTGACAAACCAAAAGTCACTAAAATTTTCAACTATAAGATTTTTGCTAAATAAAATCTTGGCGTCATCCTATTAAAGTTCCCTTGAAGTACACTAGGTTAGTCCACTTTGTATTACTACAACAAAGTATGAAGCCGGGTAAGTTTATAAAGAGAATGGGTTTATTTCAGCTCATGGTTCTGGAGTTCCAAGATCAAGTGCCACCTCTGGTGATAGCTGTCTTGTTGGCAAAATCCTGAGGTGGTATAGAGCATCAAACAGTAAGAGACAGGCAGAGTATCTGACTGTATTTTCTTGTCTCTCTTCTTATAAATCCACCAATAATTCAATCATTGGGATTCAACCTTGATGACCTTATTGATCCCTAATTATCTCTTAGAGGTCTCAAACTCTATTTGCCATTGTTGTATTGTTCCCACCACCTTAATATGTCACAATGGGGATCACATTTATGCACATAAACTCTTGGAGGACACACTGGAACCATCGTAGCACATAGTGTCTGAAAAATATTTTTTCGAAAAATAACTGATGAAAAAAATGGTGATCCAAAGTAAGAAACTAAAAATTAAATGCTGATTACAAATTTAACACTGATGCATACAATCAGACACTCAATAATTATTTTATAAACCAAGTGTATTTAAAACCTGAAGACTAACTTAATAAAAGTATAAAAAGGTATATAAACGATCATCTCAATAAAAAGTATAAAAGGACACCAGGAGTTATATACATACCTGTAATTTCCGTAGCTACTAGGCTGAGGCAGGAGAATTGTGAGTCCAAGGCCAGCCTGGGATACATAGAAAGTAGAAGGCTATACTGGACTATTTAGACCTTGTTACCTCACCATAAAAATTCAAAGGAAAAAAAACAATATGAAAAGAATCACACTTCAAATTCTTATAATTAAATAGCAAACATGTTTTTTTCCAAACATTTTAAAACATGAATATTGTGTAATTTAGCCAGTCTTTATTTCCAGGTAACTTCTTCATTAGGCCTCAATTCCCTTTTACAAAGCATATGCTATTCCAGAAGGCAGTTAGCTTGTTGTCATTCTTTCTGTCCAGGTAACATCCAAAGACAAATCCCATAGGGACAAATATATGTATCCAGTGGTCATGCACAATCTGAACTATGTTCACCATGATTGCTCCCAATGCAGTGTAGTGCTTTTTTCTGGGTGAGGAAATATTCAGGAACAAGGGCAGTAAGTGGTGCAATTAGAGTTAGTACAGTACACCGGCAGTTTGCTCTTCATCCATCTCTTTTCTTGTGCTTTGCTGTCCACAGCCTGAGGGCCAATAACCCCATGACTTTATTCAGGATTTTTTATATCTTCTTAATTCAGGTTTTGTAATTTGCATGTATGCAGAAATTTATCCATTTCTTCTGAATCTTCTATCTTGTTAGCATACAGCTTCTCAAAGTTGTTCAGCAATCTGGATTTCTTCAGAATCTGTTGTGATTTTGCCCTTTTCATTTCTAATTTCATAGATTTGGGGCTTCTTTTGATAAAGATGAATATTTGTCTATTTTAACCTTTCAAAGAACCAACTCTTTGTTTTATTGATACTTTATATTATTTTATTAGATTCAATTGCATTAATTCCTTCTCTCATCTTTACAGCTTCCTTTTTCATCCTAACTTTGGGGTTGAATTATTCTTGTTTTTCTAGAGCCTTGAGTTTCATCATTAGGTTACGTACTTGGCTTTGTTCTGTTTTCTGTTCACCATTATAAAATTCCCTCTTGGGACAACTTTCACTGCAAAAAGTCCCATCTGCTGATGAGAAGAATATATATATATTCTGTTGTTGGGTAGAATGGAATGTTCTGTAAGTATCTGTTGTTTGTTTGTTCAAAGGTTTGATTCTTTGTTGATCTATTTTGATACTTCAACTGTGACATTACTTCTTTATTTTTTGTCTAGCTGACCTGTCTGTTTATGATGGTAGACTACTGAAGTCTACCATTACATCTATATTTGAGCTTATTTTTCATGTCCATTAGTGTTTGTTTTATGAAGTTGGATGTACTGGTATTTGGTATGTATATATTTATGATTGTTATCTCTTCCTATTGAATTCTTACCTAAGCCAATGTGTTTAGGCACTTTATATCTTTTCATTGGTTGTGGCTTTAAATCCACTTTGTCTGCAATTCGAATAGCTACTTTAGCTTTATTATGTGTTCCTGTTTCATGGAGTGTTGTTTTCCATCCTTTGACTTTCAGTCTATTAATTTCTTTTGGAGTAAATGTGTTATTTGTATGCAGCATATTGTTGATCCTTAATACATTCTGCTAATCTATTTCTTTTGACTGGTGTGTTGAAATCATTCACACTCATGGTTATAACTGACAGGTAGTGAAATGTATTTGTCATACTATTTCCCTAGTGTTGCTTCCCTTTCTTTTCCTACTATTTAAATATTTGCCTTGCCTGGAGGACTCATTCTATTGGGCTTTTCAGTAATGTCATGTTCATTGTCAACTAGGTTATCCTTGAAAATTTTCCAGAGTGCTAGTTTGTAGTTATGAACTCATTTAGGTTGTCTTTATCATGAAAGTGTCTTATTTTTTTCTTTTTTTTTTTTGATGAGGCTATATTTTTTAATAATGGCAAGGATTCTATTGCCACACATTTTAAAACATTACATGTTTTAAGATATATGTACATTAAAATAGGACCAGATTTTTTTTCATAATTTTACTGATAAACAAATGGCAATGAGACAATTTCAAATCAAATCGCTAGGACAGTTTCAATAATTAACACACTGCACACATTCTTCTTAGTGGTTAATTGCTGTACAAGATGCGGACTTGAGATCCCATTTGCAAACACCATTAGAACAAATCATTCTATTCATTAAGAGAAGTATCTTATTTCTTCATCAGTTTTGAATTTTATTTTTTTTCAAAGTTTTAT